GCCTACAGCTTCTGGGTTATCACGTAAAAAGAAATAAATCTAATTGTTATTTACTAACTACTCTTGAAATGACTGTTCAGTACAGAAATGAAGCCCAACAATCATGTTTTACAGTCCTGTGGTCTCAGCCTCAGATACTCAACTAATCAAAGTGATGTCATGACAAAAATTAATGACCAACAAAACATTTTTTCTCCTTCATTTCTGTCAAACAAAGCTGTATGTAACGTCTCTCGCGGTTAGTATCATGGTTGCTAGGCAACCTGAACAGCGCGACGAAGGCTAGACCGTCCCATTTCACAAGCCTCTCACTTCCGCACTTCTCGTACTTATAGTACGCACCGTACGTAGTACGCGTAGTGCGCGTAGTGCGCGTACTTCAAGCGTGCAGACCCTGAATTGGGACACAGCAAATGTGTCCTGAAGTTCTCCAGAGGCCTGGTAATGAACTAATCATGTGATTCAGGTGTGTTGACCAAGGGTGAGATCTAAAACCTGCAGGGACACCGGCCCTCGTGGACTGGGATTGGGGACCCCTGATGTAAAAGACCCAAAACAACCGATGACCCTGCTGAGGATGCAAGTGATGCTTTTCTCCATCATTTAGGATGGAAAGCTGAATATTTTTTTGGGTCATTGGTCTGTCAAAACAGGATGATGACATCATCTTTGCCTCAGGAGGGGAAAAAAATATTCAACTCAACTATGAACACTGCAGCAGTTCCATTAAGAGTTAGTCTAGGGCTGTCAAACTGATTTAACTCATGCACAACATTCAGCCCAATTTGATCCCAAGTGGGCTCGACCACTAAAATCATTACATAATAATATCCTAAAAGAAAAGTCATGAAAATTACACTGTCCATATTTACAAAACAGAGATTTACAAAGGGGAAAATATGTATGTATGTTTCAACAACATGTCTCCCTTTGTCTCAGTTTGCTGTCGTTACAAAGAAACCAATTCATCATCAATTGCACAAACGCGTCAGCACGCCTCTTCAGCCAAGCTGGTGTGGCAGGTCGTGGGTTTTCAGCAAGAGCTGCAAAGCTGACAATGATTCAGACCTCTGGCTCAGATGAAAAGAACAGTTTGGACAGCCACTCCCATAATCCCCAGCTTCCATAACGGCACTTCCAGCGGCCGAAATCCCACCGTATTTATTTTAACGCTGGATCTCAGCGCTGCTCTGAGAACATGAGTCACGCTGCTCTTTTGCAGTGAATGAACCTTAATTGCACGGCTCTGTTTTTAAATAAATACGCCTGATTCAAGATATCAGCTACGCTGCCAACCCGCCTGATTATTTTTCATCTGTTCAGGCAAAATTTGAATAATGAAGCCAAAGCAGAATGGCAAAACAGCCTGATTACGTTTCTAAAGAGACAATCAGGGCCAAGCATCACAAATGGGTTTCTATAATTCGATTTGCAGAGGGCTCACCTGCGACTCTAGCTCGGTGAGCTGACCCTGCAGCTCAGAGATCTGAGCCTGCAGCTCCTCCTCCCGGCTCTGCCATCTCTGTTCGCTCTCGGCGACGGCGGCGTTCATCTCTATCCTGAATTCTGCTCTGAGACGATCCTCGCACTCCGCCCTGGAGGCATGCATCAGAACAAAGAGTGAGACACAGCTAACCTACATGCAAAATGACTTTTTAAAATTTCTTCTGGTTATATGCCATCTAACATTGCAAAGCAGTTCCTATTTATTTTTTGCAGCAAACATGCAGAGGAGCATCCAATTCCATAAAGTACATAAATATAAAATCCGAGTTTTATATTAATGCATTGCCATATTAAGATAATAGGATAACCTGTTATACCTTCAGCTGACAGGTTGGTTTTTATTGGGTGTATTTGAATGAGGGAAAAAAGAGGACATGTATTGAAGGGGGAACTGCGTGTAAACTGATAGTTTCGAGTGATCAAACACATTTAAAATAAATGCAGAGGGCTGGTTTTTGTTTGCGCGAATGCTCTAATTGCTGTCGACACATGGTGAAAAACAGGCTAATAAAATACATCTGTCGGGGAGGGCAGACTAATTGGTGATATTGATTTAATTTTCATTAATGTGCCGACACCGTTTACCAGCTCACACAGAATTTTTTCTGCTGCTACATCTAATTTCTTGGCGTGCGTTTGCTCTGTTACAACACGTTCCAAGTTAATAAAGTTTATTCAAACTTGACTACAGCAAGAGAAAAAAAAATATGCCACGAGCTTCAATTCGAGTGATTTCCTTCCTGACTCTGATGTTTCCCAAAGATCATTTAGGTGAGCGGCGGGAGGGGGTTGATTACAAGCAGACTTTGTAATGGAAGCCTGAGCAGCTTTGGAAGGTCTATGTTTGATCTGCTACCTGATCCGGTCCTCTGTGTGCTTCTGGTTTTGCTCTAGAAGACTCCTCTCCGTGTTCATCCGGCTCTGCTCCAGGACTTTTTCCTCCAGCCGATGCCTGTCAGCTTTCAGGGATGTGATCTCTCTCTGGTGCCTGTCCCGCTGCCTCTCAGCCTCATCCTGAATGCGAGCCAGTCGACTCCGAGCCTGATGGAGCTCTTCCTCCAGACGGGAGCACTGCGGTCCACACGACGATGGAGCATCGGGGGTCGCCTTGTCTTTCTTGTCTTTATGGTGGATCAGTGACTCCAACCTACAGATCTGAGATCACAGGAACATATCTCTTTCTCTTCACATGTCACAGGAACTACAGCTGATGTTTTACTCTCAGTTAGCGTAACCTGACTTCTAACCTCACTGGTGGCATCTTTCAGTTTCGTCCTCAGCTCCTCTCTTTCCTTCTCCATCCTGCTGCGTAGCTCCTCAGCAGCTCTCCTCTCCTCTTCCAAACGCACGCACACCTTCATAAAAACATTCATCCTCATCAAAACTATTATTACATTAGCAAAGAATCTCCTTTTTAACACTCGACCCTACCGTGTCATCTTCTTACAAGTGAGCCTAATTAATAATTAGTAATAATGAAGTGAACATGATAAGAGGGCTCAAAGGGTAGGCAATTATATGATAAAATCTTTAAATTTCTACATTTACTGGGAGCAAAAAACGTCTAATAAATTTCTCTTTTGGTTCAATCTGGGGGCGAGAACTCTCCCTATGGGGGTCACAAGAGAATTAACTGGATCAAAGGAAAGCATTTTTGCTACACAAACATAATCGTTCACAGATTTTTTCCCACAATCCCTTTCTTTCAAATTACTCTGAAAATATTCAGGTTAAAAAAAGAGGAAACTTTTGTTCAACATTGTCAGTTGCTGACAAGCAACGCAGGCTTTTGCTTTATTTTCAGATTTCACAAGCCCAAAATATTTAGAAGCTCTGTTTTAATTAGGCAGCACCCCCGCTGAGGCTCGACTGTGCAAAAGAGAGTCCGACTCAGGCGCTGCGTTTCTGTGAACTTCAGTAACCTGGTTACTGTCGACGCTCCTCGGTGACCACGCAAACTTTTTCTCAGGTTTGTGGATTAAATGAGTGAACTTTTGCCTCGACCCTCATGGCTTACGGTACGTGTTTGACTGCAGGCAGGGAGATTTTTACTGTGTTGGCAACGGTTTGTGCTCATATCAAAAATAATTACATCCAAAGTGTGACTGAAACTAAAAATAATAAAGCCTGTGTTTTTCGGCTTCCACAGCAGGCCGTTTTTAAATTTGAGATGCAAGCAGTGCACATTATAAAGAATCTGTGTCTGGTCCTAATACAGAGCCAGTCTCCTCTTACTTCTTAGCACCATCTCACTGGGTTCCAGTGCAAAATTACTAATGCTCATTTATGATATATAGCCTCAGTTTTTAAATATAGTAGCCAAACAGGTCAGGTCACTAAGTGATATCAAAAATGCAGCTTCTTTCTCCAGTTTTCCTCTCTAACCTGATTTCTCCTGTTATGATCACTGTGGCAAATGTCTGTTAAAGTTAAATGCAGAGAACTCTTTGTGTGCCGACACACGCTGACCTCTTGGTTGGTTTTCTTCTCGGAGCTCAGAGCTTCTTGGACGCCGTTCAATTCAGCCGCGTGTCTCCTCATCACCTCCTCTATTGCCTTCCGCACCTGCTCCTTCAGTCGCTTCCTGTCCTCCTCGGCCTTCTCCGCCAGCCTCTTCTTCTCCTCCTCCAGCTTCAGCTGCACGCCGGCTCTCTCCGCCTCGACCTGTTCGATGTTCTTGTCGAGCTGGGAACGAATGCGGACCCTCTCCACTTCCAGCTCTTTGCGCAGGCGGTCCACCTCTTCCTCCTTCTCTCTCCTCACACGATCCTTGACCTCTTCCAGCTGTCTGTGGTGCGCTTCCTTTTCCTCGTCTCTTTCTCGACGTATTCGGTTCCTTTCCTTCTCGAACTGATCCCTCTCCTGCTCCCGCTCCCTCCGCAGGCTCTCTCGTTCTTTTTCGATCTCCTTCTGCAGTTTGTCCCGCTCGTCGTCCGCGTGCTTCTGAATGCGACGCAGCTCTTCTGTCTGGGCTCTCACCATCTCTGAGCGCAAACTGGACAGTGCTTCAGCGTGCTATAAACACACAACACAGCACACTCATTCATGCTGTGCTTATATTTTTGTCCACATTGCAGTTTTACCATATGTGCATGTGTGTGTGCATGCTACCTGGCGTATCTGCCTGGCGTGGTCGCTGTTGCGGCCGCTGCTCTGCAGCTCCAGCTCTCTGTTCCTGCTCTGCAGACGGCTCACCTGGCTCCTCATCTCCTCCATTTCAGTGCACACACACACCTCGCAGCCTCCTCGATTCAGCAGCTCCTCTAACACACAAAGTAATTGATTGATAGTCTATAGCAGAAGCAGAATGGATCATCTGACCAGTTCTGACTGAGGAAGGGTCTGAATTAAAACCCATTACTGTGCAATAAATAAAACTCAGAGTTTTGTGCTGACGGGGGGAGATGCCAGTTTGATGAAACTGTTTGCCTTTGAGCAGGAATGAATAATTTGTTACATTTTCTCTACATATTACGGCAGCGTGAGTGGAAAACTTAATTAACGGCGGGTTTGAATGAGGAATGGGGACGTGCACCTGGCACAGCTTCAGTTTTTGCAAGCTCGCTCCGAGCAGGGCAGGTAAGATTGACAGGTGCGAGAGGCTGACTACCTGCTCTGCTCTGCAGCTCGTCTTCCTGCAGCAGCAGCCGCTCTTTGGCTACAGCGAGCTCCTCTTCAGCCCGCTTGGCCACGCCCTCGGCCTCAGACACACGCCTGCGATCCAGCTCCAGCTCTTCCTCCAAGTCCTGCAGGGAAGGGATAAAGGCCAGGAAGGAGTTTAGCATGAGGGCAATTAAGGTCAGGCGATGTAGAATAGTACTGCATGTTGACAAAAGGCCACGAGGGAATAGAAAAGGAAAAAGAAGTAGAAGAGAAAGAGAGAGAAAGAGAGAGAGAGGCTGACAGCAAATTTGACACAGATGAGGGAGGAGGGAGTGAACACAATCAGGCAAACAGAAAAAAAAATGAGGGATGAAATGTGGTGAGTCAGGGAGCTGTCTTGCCCAGCTGCGAGCCTTTAATGGTCTGCTGTGAGGACTTACTGCATGTCAGCTCCATGCCAGCTCTCACAGGGCTTCTTAATGCTCATGCGTGAGGTGGTGCAGCGAATCTATCCTGCTCCTCATTAGCAGCTAGTTGGCAGTGGGAATAACACTCAGGGAAGGCAGCTTGTGGTTAGACAAGCAAGATGCCTCCCCCACCCCCGCTCACCCTCCACCCCCCAGCTCTGCTTCTACTTCAGTCCCTTCTTTCCCATCAACACTATTAGCTGGGCGCATCAGAGACAGGAAGCTGCAACATTTCAATTTCCCTTCCCAGCGTTGGATTATGCACGCAGGGACGAGAGAAAAGGCGCGTACCTGTATTCGCTCTTGCAGCTTCACTGTGTTTCTCTTGCTCTCGGCTAGCCTCTCCAGGTGACTCTCCACCTCTGCCTCGGCCCTCTTCACCCTCTCCCGCAGAGCGCTGTGCATCCCTTTCTTCTCCTCCTCTTCCCTCTCCTCCCACCTCTGCCGCTCTTCCCTCCACTCCGCCTCTATCTTCTTCCTCATTTCCTCTCCCTCCTCGTTTAGATCGTTCACCTTTCGCTGCCATTGCTCCCTCTCCTCCTTCACGGCTTGCCTCTTCTCCTCCTCCGCTCGATCTCTCTCCTCCTTTAGTGCCTTTAGCTCCTCCAGGAGGGCTTTAATCCTTTCCTCACACTGCTCCATTTTCCTCTCCTCCTCCTCCTTCTTCTTTTCCTCCTCATCTTCTCTTTGCCTATCCTCCTCCTTCCTGTTTTTCTCCTCATCGACGACTGTTTTCTGGAGCTCCTCGCATTTGGCATCCAGTTGCTGGATCTGCTCCTCAGCATTCTCCAGTTCTTTGCTCAGTCTCAGGTTTTCCTCCTGGGCAACACTGATCTGGGCCTTGGCCTCCTGGAGGTTTTCCTGCGCAGCCTGGAGCTTTTCCTCAAACTCTTTTCTTAGCTCTGCTTCCGTTTCACGCTCCCTCTCCTCCGCCTGGATGCGGAAGAACTCAAAGTCCGCCTGCACCTGGAGCCACAGAGGACGAGAGAATAACTCACACATATAAACCTTTGGTAGTGACAACCTTCCCTAAAAAGCACCTAATTTTTCTCCAACAACTCTCGGAAAAGCCTTTCACACTTTGTTCAATGCTATAATGATACTTATGCAATAACAAATGCATGCTTGTTCAAAGGTGTTTCACTGTGCTTAGATCTGGGAACTGTACAGACGGCTGGAGCGAACAGTGTGGACACAGACTATACAAAACATTTGTAAAAGGCCAGACTGGCCAATTAGTGGTAACGCTGTGACATTCACACAATACTCAGTATGTGGCAAAACATCATTACCAGCCTGCAAAGTCGAGCTCGGGCAACTCAGAGCCGCAAACAACTTCTTCAAAAGTCACAAAACCAGAAATCAGAAAGAAGCCTGAACATGCAGCAAGCTGCAAACATTATAAACCAAGGGGGGAGACACTGTGTGGGTTTCTTTGACATAGCTCCATATTAGTTATATTAGCTATACAGTTATATAATTATGACTTTTCTTTTTTTTTGCAAAATAAGCCTTATTTGAACCCAAAGATTTGCTGTTTTCTGGCATTTATGGAACCCTTATTCTTAATAGTTAGATCTGCAGTAATGTGTGTTGACACTGTTCAATACTGTGATAACAAATAAACAAATACTATATGCTTATTAGCTATCCATTCACTGCTAACATAGACTCCAGGCACTGAAGAACCAATTACCACTGCTTTTACTGAAAAAATGTTCACATGCTAGGAGTTTATAAGGAATAAAATGAGTATTTTCCAGAGGTGAATTTCAGGAATTCTTCTGTAACATTTTAATATTTATGCAAAAACAAATATACACTGCAACTATTCAGCTCACTTAGCAGCCACTTTGTTAGCTGTACCCAAAGAGTGCCGTGAAAATATCCCAAACAACATTACACCATCAGCAGCCTGAACCGCTTATACACAGCAGAAGGGAGCCATGCTTTCATGTTTTTGATGCCAAATTTGGACACTATCGCCTCAATGTCACTGCAGAAATCGAGACTCATCAGATCAGGCAACATTTTTCTAATCTTCTGTTGTGCAGTTCTGGGGAGCTCATGCAAACCATAGCCTCAGTTTCCTGTTCTTATCTGACAGTAGTTTCACCTAATGTGGTCTTCTGTTGCTGACGTCCTTTGCGTGTGTTCAGGGATGCTCTTCTGCATACCACCTTCTTAACAAGTGGACATTTAAAAAGTTACTGTTGCCTTTCTATTAGCTTGCAGCAGTCCTGCCATTCATCTCTGACCACTGGCATCATGAACAAGGTATTTTAACTTCACCTTACTGGATATTTTCTGTTTTTTGGCCCATTTTGTGCAAGGCTTAGAGGTGGTTGTGCAGAAGATCTCAGCAGCAGTAGTCTGATTTAAAAAGTGCCAAAACAAGATAATACTACGAAACTAAAGATGTTAGAGACAAATTTTTACTAGCATAAGTGTTATGTTTGTGATTATATAGATGTTATGTCATTTACGCTCATAGGTACCTGTGAGAGATATCATGCAGTGTTTTGACACACTCACATTCTGATAGTTTTTGCACCAGTGGCACTACGACACTCGTCTGCTCTAAAGGTGATAAGGCTTTCTTTTACTGGCGCATTAATCCTGTTCCAGGTTGTTTGATGTGTGACACTTATCGTTGTCTGTAGCCTGTTTCACTTAAAAACACTGGTAGGTTTGTACAGGTGTTTTCTTGTATCAGAACCACGCTGATCTACCTGCTTTGACTTGAGAAAATGACAGTACGAAATGAAAAAACATGACAGATGCCAGACATGCCAGACAGATAACAAGGAAAAACATTTCAAAATAAAAGTTTTAGGTCCCTGTGTGCATTTTTTATGTATTTAGTTGTTAAGACGCTTTTTTGTTTCCCCCCACGGACTCGATAGGAAAGCCGTGTGGATATTTATGATTCATGTTGATGTTTTATTGTGGTGCACAGCATATAAATTATGAAGACTGGGTAAAGTAACAGGCTTTCTGAGCGAGGCTGGCTGCCGTAGGTCATGTTAGGGCCAGGTTTGATTTGCTGCCCTCACTGGGAGGTTAGACATTAAATTACAGAGACACAACAAGGACCCCGACCCCCAACCCCATAAACAAGGACTCACACATGCACACACCTGGGCCCCGACTCGATGCTGCTCATCCAGAGACTCCTGCAGCTCCAGGAGGCGTGTCCTCAGGGCTGACCCCTCCCCTTCGTGGCACGTCTCCATCAGGATCCGGTGCAGCTCGTCGTGGTGGGCGTTGCTCAACGCCTGCAGGGCCGCCTCCTGCTCCTCATTCTTCATGTTCAGAGAATAAATCACCTGGAGCATCAGCAACAAGAGGGCAAAGATTTAAGAGCTGTGCACATTTAAGCCTTCAAGACACAAACACTAAAAATTAGAAAGATATTAATCTATGTAGCATAGTTTTTTGGTTTGCTTGTTTATGTCTTCTTGCCTCCCTGCATTATTTTTCCACTTGAGTGTTGTGTATATAAGGTGGAGGAAGAAGGGCATCTTCTAAAAAGTGATGTGAAAAACATTTATTTTAAAAATGTTCAACTGTTTTGTTTCGTTTCACTGTATTTTTTCCTCTATTGCGTAAATGTGCGAGCCATTGTTAAATAAGCATTTTGACTACAGATTAAAAAAAAACATTCACTAAAGCACGTGTCCATTAAAAGCAGCAGCTTATCCTCTCTTTTAGGGATACATGACACTTTATCTTTGCAGATAAATGCGAACAAATCACCACTCATGGATGTTTTTAATGTTAATGCATTGCTTATGCTCATCACAGTGTGTTGAGTTCATGCTTCAAACTGCATGCCTTTGACTCCCTTAGTCTTGGAAAGTTAATACCAGACAGACAGATACGAGATATTAGATCACTTACCTCCATAAACAAACCACCAAGTCTAATATTTTTTGACTTGCTTGGTTAACTCCCCTTTTTTTAATCCACCAAAATCTGATGACTTAGAACATTAGAGGTCAGAATCCATCAAGCAACGCAGCAGAGATTCCAAAGGTCAAGAGACTGAAAAAAGGCCCTTTTGTGTAGCACTTTTATTATTTTTGCAACCAAATGCAGAATATTTGAAACCTGAATGGTGAGTCATTGTTGAGAGATATTGAGCGAATAATGAATTTCCACAATTTGATATGAAAAGATTAAAAATGACCTTGGCCACCTTGTTAAAAATATGCACGTATTGAGAGTAAAACTTCAATATTTTATGGGAGTTTTCAGTCTCATATGAGCAAACCTGGTTACATCCTTATAGCAGCTTTATGCTAACAAATATTACAATAATACAGTGTTTTATCACATATATCCTGTTACAGTGATAGAGTAACATATTAAACAGGGGCTGTAATGAGGGCAAGATGTGTATAAACAATCACCTGTGAGCTAAAAGCTAATGTTTCAGTCTGCTTTCAGAAACTATTTCTTCTCCTGGATCTCATCAATATGATGCGGCACCATTGTGATGCCTCACAGCTGGGTTAAGAATCCTCTAACCGGCTAGGACCTTTCTGTGTGGCGTGTTGCATGTTCTCTTTCTCCCAGACTCCAAAGGCATGCATGTTAATTTCTAATATAGTGTCATGGCTGTAGCCTGCCTCTCATTCTATGACAGCTATAAGAAATATAAGAATATAAGAAAATTGATGGATGGAAAGTTTTAATAATGTCAGAGGGAGAATATATCCTGATCATCTTGGGCACACAAGGTTGCACAAACCCTCTGTTTGTGAAAGACAGCCAATCAAAAGAGAGTTGGATTAAAGAGAGAGTTCAAACTGGCTGCACCAAGAACCAGCTAAAAAAAAAACAATTTTGTACTGTGAATTATGCAAATGTACCATAGCGGAGACCAAAATTAAAACTATAGAAAAGATGGGAAGGGGAGACAGATCTCCAGCCTTTGCTAACACAAAGACCCAGACAGCCATTTACACCTAGATTTGCTAATTAGCCTAAACATGGATGTCTTTGGACTTTTGGTGGAAGCTGGAGCGCTCAGAGAGAACATGCCAACTCCTCACAGAAAGCCCAGAGGATTCAACCCCAGGACCTCCTCGCTGTAAGGCAACAGTGCTCTCCACCAGTCGAAATAATATTAGACTTTAAATAGTAACACTGACAAACTGTGTGTCTGAGCCACAGACAGTCAGGCTTTATGCAGCGATGCCTGTCAGCATGTACGGAGCCTCCCTTCAACCTCTCCATATAGAGCGCTACTAACCTATGAAATACGGCCTGTTTCTCCCCGCTATTCACTTTACCCCCTGCGCCATGTCATCATCTCCTCCTGGTGACCCTGACGTCTCACTTATCCACTTGCAGAGGTGTGTGTGTGTTTGTGTGGACTCACACGCATGCGCGTACTGTATTCGGGAGACACATGGGCTCATATTTTACTCAGACGCCTCTCTGTCTGCAGCTGGTACAGGCCTGCCGGACATTCCCTGTGTCCCTGTCTCTGCCCAATGTGTGTGTGTGTGTGTGTGTGATTAATCCTCTCTCACACACATTTACATTACCTCCACACTGTCAGTCTCCAGTAATCTGTTATGTATTTATTGTAAAGCAGGTTTTGGTATTGGTGTCAAATTTGAGATTTCTCTATCTCCTGTCCATCAGACGCTGGTGGAGTATGTCACACCGATGTGCAAACTTTAGCAAACAATGACTCATGACAGGGAGGAATGAAGAGGACTCTGAAACGGGGACAGGCTCTAAGGGGGAGGACGTTCTTTGCTGTCCTCTTTGGCTGGTTTGAAAGTGAGAGCATAGAGAAAAAAAAAGAGATTTAATGAAGGTTATTAGATAATACCTATTAATAATGCAGACCAGTGGTTCCCATCCTTGGGTTTGGACCCCTGAGGGGTTACAAAGTACACCTGCAGACACCTGAACTTTACACCCAACTCTGTTCGTTAACATGCTGTCGAAACAGCCTGCACTCTTCTGGGAAAAGTTTCCAAATCAGAATCAGAATTTCCACAACATTTTGGGGTCTTACTGCCGGGATTTGCTCCCATTGAACTAAAACAGCACACGTGAGGTCATCTACAAATGGTACATGATACAGCCTAGCCTGCAGTCTGCATGGCAATTTTTCCCAGAGGTGCTGGACGGTGTCGAGGTCGAGGCTCTGGAATTTTTCAACACCAAGCTCATAAGCTAAAAGATGTGAAGACTGATATCTTGAAAACAGGATGTAAAATGGTTACCACCATATTCAGATAGATTTAAGAGGGACCTATTAGTAACTTTGCATGATTCACAGTTCTAAATAATCCAGATTTATCTTACAATGGACCTTGATACAATCCCTCAGTTCTAGCATTTTTTAACTTCTCCCTTTTATCCAGATTACTTCCGACTGACATCAGGTGGGTGGGGCTTCTGTGCTCTATCCAGCACTGTGTGCTCGAGATGATAATCGCTCTCTTTGATGTCACATAGAGCCAAGAGTAGAAAAGAAATACTAACTGAAGCTAGAGCAATCTGAACCTTTTAGTTTGCAGGGATTACTTAGACTTACACTAACTATATTATGTTATTACCCCTTGGGGGTGGTATATGTGTGCTCCTCAAGCTCGGGTCCACGACCGGAGGAATGGGAATCTGAGGATCCTGTGCAGTATCTTAGCTGTTTGTAGGAGTGCGCTCTTCTGGACCTCTAATGCTGTGCCTTAAATCTGCTGGAGCCACTCACACCAGTCATTTTATCAGCTGGCATAGCAGCAATTCATCAATTCTATATTATCAGTCCTTGTCCATGTACGCCTTGTTCCAGCTCTCCACTTCTCATCAGTATGCCCTGGTTCCCCAACACCTGACACAGACCTTGTTAAGCTGCACGACACCCGAGCTATTGTGGTTTCAGTGAAGCCAGTGGACCTACTGTCCCCATACATCAGGGATGTCAAACTCATTTTGATTCATGGAGCGCATACAGCCCGATTTAAGCTTAAGTGGGCCTCACCAGTGAAACTCCCCTTTCTGTCAGTGCTGGTCTGGGTTGGACCTTCTGTATGTCTAGGTTGGACACACAGTCAGATTCTGCAAACACCTGCCCCCTTTTGAGCCTCTAATTAGCTCTGATGAGCACTTTTGTCTAACCAAAACCATCTGACCAAACATCAACAAAACAGGTCTTTGCAGAACACCTTGTTATCTTAATAAAAGGTAATCAGAGAAATGTGTAACACAAAAAAATGTATTCAGGTTTTTTTTTTTGACCAGCAGGTTCTTCCATCTGCCGCTCTTCTCGGAGTGTGTGTGTGTGTGTGGGGGGGGGTACTATTTGCCATATCGAGTACATCTGAAGTATCACTACTTGACCTACGAGAGTCACCTTTTCATTCCTCTGAAAATTAATCACATGACCTAATCTAAGAAGGAAAAATGATCAGCCCAAGCTCACTCAGCGATGTATTAAGCAGCTATTGCTGCTTTATCTTTAGAGTTACAGGACAGGTAGGAAACCACTGATCTAAATCTGTATGACATGTTTTATCTTTATCATAAAAGCAGTGACATCTATGCACTTGAAAAATCCACTCTTGTTCTATTTCATGCACTCGGGTGGGGGTTGGAGGAGGCTTGCTGCTACTCTAGAAGTTTGCTGCCTTACCTATTTAAAGTATAGGTAGGATATTTATATGTCACTAGCATGAATGAGTCACTTCAGCGGCTCCGTTTGTCTTCTACCACTGCGCTTACCATTATCTGTTCATTTTTATTCATGCAGACAGTGGCTGCTGTTTAGCGTCAGCTCACTTTAAGGTCAGATTTAAGGAAAACCCGCTTTCACACAGTTAAGTAAAACTACTACATGCCATCACGAACAGTATTTATCGGATTTATTTTAGGAGGTGGGATTAAAGACAGCTTCACACTTTGATTCAGCTCTCTGGGTTTAAATCTTTGGCAGTTTGGCCAGAGAGCGGCGAGAGCCCGCAACTGTAAATTCTGCCTCGAGATCCCCTTATCGATCCTGCCGGTCGATAATGTTATTCATGTGGCCTCACAAGCCAGTGCCCGTGCTCATTGACAGTAACTTCATAGTCAGCAAAGCATGAAATTAATATTCTGTCTACAGTGTAAAGGAGAGCAAGAGACAAGGCAGCTGAAACAGGAGTGAGACGTAGACTTGACTCGCTCGGTGCACAGAGGAGAGGTTAGGCAAAGAGACAAAGCAAGTGTGCACACAAACACACACTCTCTTACATCAGCCGCCCTCTCCCACTCTCACACATACCTCCACACATATCAAAGAGGGTACTGGGTGTGCTGGATTACAAAGCAGGGAACACAGCACCTAGTGTACACTCGATAGGGTAAGTGCAGGAAATCCAGAGACAGAATTAGAGCCACCAGTCTGACGTGTAGGTGTGCACATAAGCACACACTTTAATATGCTACTGTTGATCTCTGTGAGTCATGCAGAGACACTACTCCTCTCTCTGTAGCCGCGTTTGTGTGTGTGTGCGTGTGTGTGTGTGTGTGAACATGGAACATTCACAACAGCTGGCCTGACACGGTCAGCTCTCAATTCCTTCCCATTGGCTTCTTTTACCATCTAAACACACTCCGACGTGCTGCTGGTTTATCTTTAGCAGCCCCCATTCAACCAGGGCAGACTGCTCTCACTGATGAGGGGAGAGGTGTGTGTGTGTGTGTGTG